AGATGTGTATAAGAGAATGGGGTTGAGCCACTCACTTGATGGGGTTCAGCCACTCACTTGATGGGGTTGAGCCCCTCATGCACGAAGGTGCCGTAACCTGTAGGGGTGTAGAAGGCAGGTATGCCCGCACCCCCCGCCCTGATGCGCTCTGCCAGCGTGCCCTGTGAACACATTATATTTTAATTATTACATTATATACCACATTATATTTCACATTATATATCAATTATTATTTAAATAGTATACTATACAGTATTAGATGCCAAAATAAGCTTGTCTAAACAAAGAAGGGTGCTATGTAAACACATTATATATTAATTATTTTTAAAAGTATATAACAAATATATTAGTATAGGTTGGCAAAAGCTTCTCTTTTATGCAAGTTTGATTGAAAACCAGAGCATGTTTTTATTAATAACCTTCTTGTTCGTTTCTCAATGAGTCGAACCAAATTTCTTGCTGGTGCCGGGAGATCAAAAAGCAGGTTACCAAATGAAACTATATGGCACTTACATGCAGACATAACCAGACTAGGTGCTTCGCATCCTTGACTACTAGTTGAGACGAGAGTCTTAGGGGCCAATACACATAGTACCTACTAGATGACTAGGTGCCTTAGTCCTAGAGGACCAATGCGCCTACTAGGTGACTAGGTGCCTGGTGTTCACTACTAGTTGAGACAAGAGTCCTAGAAGCCTATACACATACCACTAGGTTACTAGGTGCCTGGTGTTCACTACTAGACTCACTTGATGGGGTTCAGCCACTCACTTGATGGGGTTCAGCCCCTCATGCACAAAGGTGCCGTAACCTGTAGGGGTGAAGAAGGCAGGGATGCCCGCACCCCCCGCCCTGATGCGCTCTGCCAGGGTGCCCTGTAACCACGTTATATATCATGTATTTCTACAAGTATATATATAAATACATAAGTGTAGGTTATTAAAAGCTTCTTTTTTATGCAAGTTTTATTGAAGACTAGAGCATGTTTTTTATTAATAATCTTCTTGTTCGTTTTTTCAATGAGTCGAACCAAATTTCTTGGTGGCGCCGGGAGACCAAAAAGCAGGTTTCCAAATGAAACTATATGGCACTTACATGCATACATAACCAGACTAGGTGCTTTGTATCCTTAACTACTAGTTAAGACTAGAGTCCTAGGGGCCGATACACATAGCACTAGGTTACTAGTTGTCTGGTGTTCACTACTAGTTGAAACAAGAGTCCTAGAAGCCTATATGCATAGCATTAGGTGACCAGACAATTAGGTACCTGGCACTAAGTGACTAGGTGCCATGTAACCTTCACTACTAGTTGAGTCAAGAGTACAAGGTGCCTCTATGCATAGCACTAGGTGACCAGATAACTAGGCACTAGCAATAAGCAACTAGGCACTAGCACTAAGCAACTAGGTGGCTGGGTCACCTGAGGAGTGAGCTCGACCTCCAGTTCACCGCTCAGATACTGCCGCTCAAACTCTGCGTTCTCGCCCACATAGGAGGCGACCATGCGCTTGATCTGTCGCGCCCTGAGCAACAGCCCCAGACCTGTACACCGGGGGGAGGTTAGGGTGCTGTGGGGAGAGGGGTGAGATGGGGAAGTTAGGGTGCCTAGATAGAGAGTAATAGGGTCTAGACGGGCGTGAGTGTGAAGCCTGAAGTGTAAGTGCACAAAGCTTCATGAGGAGCCGTGACATAAACTGTAAACTAGAAGGCCACGGTTGTCTTCAATATCCTACACTCATCTCAATACATTTGCAGGCTCACAAGAGGGTGAATTTTATTTGACAATTTCAACATAATTCCACACATGAAACATACAAATCATTAATTAATTAATTATAGAATAACTCACCAAAATCATCGACCCCGGCATTGTTGCTGACGACCGTCAGTTTGCTCTGTTTGGTCTTGAGCAGCGCGGCGATCAAGTTCTCGGGGATGCCACACAAGCCAAAGCCTGCCATACAGATGTATATTCAATATACATGAC